TAAAAGAAACTTTCCCTATATAGAGAGAGGAGGGTGGGGGGATTTCAAATACAAATGCTCTAATTAGTACAAATCATACAAAACAATTTTAACTGTGCATCTAGTCTAATGAATATGTGGATTCATAAACATCTTATTGTTTACTGATCTAAAATGTTAATCATAATGAATAAATTATGATCATCTTTCATAAATATTCAGATCATAATAAATAAACTCTTATTATTTTCATAAATATCTCATTTGATTGATTTGTACTAATTAGAGAATTTGCATTTGAAACTTCCTCAACAGATACACACACATAATTATTTACAAACCTAGTAAATTGTACAAATTTAGTTTTCTTGTGTTGTTTTACATATGAAACAGCATGTTTGAAAATGCAGTGTTTATACAACGTTATTTCATATACAAAAAGTTCATCCAAGACTGTTTCTATGTGGAAAAAACAATTCTGAACGTTTCATATATGAAAAACACTGCATTTTTACACTTATTGTTTCATATATGAAACAATACATGAAAACAAAGTTGTAAATTCATACAAATTATTGGATTTATAAAGAAAAATGATACAATTTAAATTATGCCGTGAGAATATAGAATTTAAGTTGGGTGCGATCGATTTGATAAGGAAGCAATTAAGTGTTGTAATTCTCTCTTGGTGATGATGTCCATAAAATCTGACTTATGACACTCACTCTTGTTATATATATATATATATATATATATATATATGAAAAATGAAAATAGGTGTGTAGTAATATGAAATAATGTTGGTATGGTTTAGATGGAATTCCATAGCCACAAAAAAAAGAGAAGGAAACAAACAAAACCAAATGATAAGAAAACAACAAAGGAATCCTTCAATGTCACCACCATTTTCAAGTGGCATGTTTCCTTCTTTCCAATCCCACCCCATATTTCCATTTCAATTATCATTCTTCTTTTTAACATATTACAATCCATTCAACATTATTTATATATATATATATATATATATATATATATATATATATATATANACTCACTCTTGTTATATATATATATATATATATATATATATATATAGAGAGAGAGAGAGAGAGAGAGAGAGAGAGAGGAGTTGGTTATTATACAACCCTTGACATTTGTGCAACCAATACAACCCAATCTCAACCGTCCATTTTATTTGATGAATATGTGATTTCATAGAAGTTTTGATTGTTTCCTAATATAAAGTATTAATCATAATTAATGAACTCTATTCATATTCCATAAATATTCAAATCATAATAAATGAACTCGCATCATTTCTATAAATATCTCAATTAATTGGGTTGCATATATGGTATATTTCTTTTACAACCTTGTGTATTTGTACAACCCTTGCAACCCAATTAATTGAGATATTTATAGAAATGATGGATTAACTACTACTAATTTACAACTTTGGGTATTTGTACAACCCTTGCAACCCTTACAAACCAGGTCTATCAAAAGTCTTAAAAATAATTTTTAATATATAAAGTCTTAAAAACAACTCATAATGCATTAACTACTACTACTTTATGCCCTCAGTTTTAAAATCTCTTAATTTACAATTAAAATAACTTATAGTACAAGTTACTAATGCACATTATTATTTTTTCTTTTCATGATCCCAAGATACTTTTGACACATTTCACTCATGTCTTTACCCTCTCATACCTCTATGTCTTCTCCCCATTCCCTAATGTGAGATTCAAACTGATATTCATCATGAGTTATTAAAAGTTCTCACATTTATCTCTCGTTCAATTGCTATAGAACTCTCGATCTCGCTCTCGATCTCTTGATTCTTTGATCTTGGTGTAAATCGAACATATTTGTGGAGCCGTTTAAATATGTTGGATTTTAAACTGTCATACAATTTTATTTCATCGATAGACTGTATTGGAACCATAACTATTATTTATTCAAATTATATTAATATATAAAGACCAAGTGTAACTTATATCATCGTTAAATCTTCTCTAATAAAACCAATGAAACTTCAAAATCGTTAAAATTCACGGCTCCTGCCGCATTACATGGATACACAACTAGTATATATATATATATATATATATATTTAAAATAAATAGTTTTAAATTTTCCATGTTAATTAATTTAAAAACAAATAACCATTCACATATAAATAAATATTTTAATAAATTCAACAATTTAAATATAAAATCATATTTGAAGTAATTAATTCGATGTATATTTATGAAAACACTGTTTTTTAGCAACACACAAGACATTTCTCTATAAACACGTAAAAAACTCGTGTTCATGTCAACTCGTTTGAGATAGAGTTGATGGACAATTTTGTGATACTTTGAGTGTTTGACATAACATTATCTATGATTTATAGGTACACCGCTATAATAAAAATGGTATTACAGGACCCTAAATATATCTGAATATCCTAATAGACTGTTTTATAAAATTTAAGTTTGTATATCTTGTGTCAAAGTGTTATAATAAGTTAATAAGACGTATTGGGTGTCACAAAATTTTTAGGACAATTTTGACATAACGTCATCTTACTCTTTTTATAACACAAGGCGAATAATCGTGTGAGAACAAAAGTTAAAGTGAGAAACATAAGAAGAGATCTTGACCCTTGATCACATTTAATCTCAAACTCACCCATGAATCGCTAGGGGTGTAAACGATACGAGACAACTTGTGAGCTACTCGAGATCGACTCTGTCAAAGCTCGGTCAACACTTGACTCAAATAGGCTCTACTCGAACTCGAGCTCGGCTCAATATATTAACAAGTCGAGTCAAGCTACCCAATACTCAACTCGAAAAGCTCGTAAGATACTCGATTATTTTATATATAACTAGGTTCGACCCCGTGTAATTTTTAAATGAGAAAAACTCTGGATATTAACTCTGAAAGAAAAATCTGGAACACAAGAATTAAGAATTCTATTGTTAGGCTGAAAAATAACTCTGGACTAACTATGAGAATAAATTATATAACTAAGTTTGGAACAGAACAATTCACAGTTATGTTGTAAGTCTGAGAAATAACCAATATCTGATGACTTCATGTTGATGATTTGTATCACTAATGTCATTTAAGTGTAATGGGATTAAATTGTTGACCAATGTAATCATGATAAATACCGAATAGTTAAGGAAGGTGCGGAGTGCACACTTGTTTGAGTTTATTTTGATTTAGGGGAGAAGCTCCTAAACGACGGGGGTCCGGGGGCAGAGCCCCTGGCTGCCGGTCAGCTTGGAATTTTTTTTCCGGGTAATATTACTTTGTGAAAAATGCTTAAAAAATCCGAATTTGAAATTTTAAATAAGGTTTTGATGACCACTCCAAAGTTAAATTCAAACTTACAACTCTGAATTTTCCCAGAGTTCTCATGCAGAAGACATCAAGAGACAGAGCTCTTACTCAAGAGTTTAGTGTCTCATATACAGAGGTCGTGTTGTATTCCAAGGAAGATCAAGACTTAAACGCCAAAAAGGTTAAGTGCTTGATGCAGAGCCTCTGCATAGTACATGCAAAGCCATATTTGACTCGTGTTTTCATTCCAATCTGAGTCTGTCTTATTTACACTTAGGGGGAGATTGTTATACCACATCTTATAAAAGTGTAAGTAAAAAGTCTCTTACTGTAGTCTTTAGGACTTAGTCTTTTGAAGCGTGCTGGACTAACAACTCTTATGTAGAAGACATCAAGAGACATAGCTCTTACTCAAGAGTTAAGTGTCTCATATACAGAGCCCATACTGTATTCCTAGTAAGCGCCAAAAAGGTTAAATGTTTGATGTAGAGCTTCACTCCAGATACAGAGCCTCTGCATAGTAAATGCAGAGACCTCTGAGTCTCCTACTTCTAAATCTAGAGGCAAAATCGTTGGACGGGTCTCTAAATCTGGAAAGAAGAACTCCAGATTTTAGAACTCTAAATCGCCAATTACTCTACGAAGGCGGTTATACCACGAATACGTGAAATTAACCGTCCGAAGGGACACATGTCACTTAAATAGACCTATTTGAACCGTAAGTGAAAATTGTGTCTAGATACATGTTTAGGCGGGAAAAATCAATAACTGTCGTACAAAAACATGACACGTGTCCCAAAAATTACTTATTTATTAGGATTTATAGATTAGTTTTCAAATATAATCAATTTTTATGATAAAATTTGTAAAATATAAATAATAAAAATGTCTTATATATTTAGATATTTAAACAAAATTATGCATTTTTCAATTATAAAAATTAATCAATTTTTTTTTATTAAAATCACAATTAAAAAAAGACAATGAAAAACTATAAAAAGGATTAGTGAAATTGTCTCACATTGGAAGAAAGATGGTAAAGGAAGAGAGAAAAGATGTTATAAAAAGAGAGGGACGGGAATGAAATTTATAGCTTTATCTTTTTGACGAAGAAGTTTGAAGTTCATTCTTTTAGTTTTATAAAAACAAAGAGAACACCTTTAAGTTTTAAAATTTATAAGAGAAAGACCCTAAAATTTCATAAATTTTAATGGATAAGTTTGTTTCGAGCTTGATTTGAGTTGTAGTTTGAGCTTGTTTCGAGCTCGAATTCGAGCTTAAGAAATAATTACCGAGTTCTAGTCAAGCTTTGATTTTTACTACTCGTGAGTTTTCGAGTTGAGTTCGAGCTTGGAAATTGGATTTCCAATAAGTCGAGTATAGTGATACTCGAGCTCGACTCACATCATTTACACCCCTATGAATCGCTCTTAATCCGGTGCATCTCATCCTAACGTACATTCAATGGTGGAGATACTGTTTTACGCTTCTCACCGAAACCTAACCCTATAACACAATATGACACAATTATTTGATCTTATAAGCCTAAGCCCTATAAAATCAGTCAACTAGGACATTTAGACATCTATAATATCCTATAAAGTCAACTTTTTATAGCACACCTTGCCGAACTGCGACTTTTGTTTCAATCTCTTCGTTGATTTGTGTCAATCGACTCGGTAAATGTTTTTCCGATACAAATCTTACACGCATATACAACTTTCGTCACATGAAATACAGATACAATAACATGAAGTAGCTATTATTGATCGCTTCGGGTTTGGTATTTACAACACTGAAAAAACATGGACGATGATATTAGGGATTCCGTTTATTGATTTCCACGCGCAACTGCTAACACCTGCTTTAGAACACCGATCAAGACAAATCTAGTTAATAGTTATCGCACAATTTTTAAATTTTGATCCGAGATGATATAAGATATCATATAAAGATGAGTACAGTGTATGGGTATTTACAATATATAAATATTATATACTTTAAAATATGAGGTGAAAGAGACTGACACAAACCACGATCAAACCCTACCTTGCTTATTGTAAGATTGTGGCTCGAGTCGGTCTTCAAACATGCGAATGCGGCTTTTGCCATATGAGCCACTTCACGATCACCCGGTTCGGATAACCTTGGATCCAACAATGGGCTTAGCAAATTCTTCTCTAGATGCGATAGTGCCTAGAGTTCAAAGAAAGTTCACGGGTTGTTTGTTTTTTTCTATTAAGATCTGTCTAAAATAAGATAATTTAATATGCACAATATATAAATGATTGACTTGTCCAATTCAAATTTTATTATTATTAATTTTATATATATATATATATATATATATATAGAGAGAGAGAGAGAGACTTGGGATCACGTGAGACCAGCCTGTTTTCGTGAGATCAGTGAGACCAGCTTTTTACACTTAAAACTTCACAGCAAAATGCTGGGAAGGTAACCTTCACAGTGTTTTTGCTGTGAAGGTTCGACTTTTTTAAACCTGTGAAGTTTCAAGTGTAAAAATATGGTCTCACGAAAACAGCCTGGTCTCACGTGAACCCAACCCTATATATATATATATATACACACACACACACATAGGTTTGGGTTCAAATGAAACCAACCAATTTATGTTCATTGATCAACTTTATAAGCTAATGATCTAATGGTCTAAAGTTGCACGGTGACAATTTTGTGATTATTGAGAAGTCTCGTGGCAATTTTGTGATTATGAATGTTCAGATTGTAGATCTAATCAAAGGGTTGAGAATTGGTCTTACGGGTCTCACGAAAAACCTTTGGTCTCACATGGTTCCAAGTCTATATAACACACACACACATACACACACACACACACATATATATATATATATATATATATATATATATGAACACATATATATTGAGGGAGGCAAACAAGAACAGTGACTAAATAAAAGAACATGAAAACGACCAAGAGCAAAATCACATGTGATTTTACACTAACTGTCAACGTAAATGTGTGCAGCCGAAGTGGTCTGCGATCTGTGTAAATCACATGTGATTTTACACGTGATTCTAATATAAAAAATCTCATGTGATTTGACTGTTTTCTTATTCTCATATGAACCCGACTCTATATATACATTCAAATGCTCAAGTAGACTCCTCCGCCTTTGGTGAAACTCGAATCCTTGACCTCTGGGAAGGTCGGTACTCAGGTACCATTGGTCAATCACCCAGTGGTAAAACGAGCCATTAAACTCATTAAGCTGATTAAGCAAAAAAGGAACGGAACCTTGTTTCGGTTTTAGTCGGAACTACAAATCAACATGTTCGGTTCCTACATGTATACGTGTTTGATGGTTCCAATTTTGCGAGCTACAAAACATGTTAGAGATCGGAAACCTTACCCAATCAACGAGGCATTGACCGTCTTTTGAAAACAATCGTTTATTCTGTCCCGTTATGAGCTCTAACAACAGTACCCCGTAATCTTTAATATCCGCCCTCAGTTGCTCGTTTGTGTCGATATTCTCGCATCTCGACTCACCAAAAGCACATATATCACATTAGTTGTTCTTCAAAACAGTAAATCACACGAGAATTCACGAGATATTTGGTTCAAAAATCGATCTTACTTCACTGACTGGAGTTCCTTCAGAGGATCGTCGTCTACGTTCAGCTGCTTTGCTGTCGTATCGTAAATGCAAAGCTTCAAGATCACCATTAAAGAAATTCTTTCAGGATTTAAAGTTGTTGGACACATAAAACAGAAAAACACATCAAAACATACACACACACACACGTGTGCAAATAAGTTCTTGTTTACCATTGCAGAGGAACCACTGTTAAGCGCGACGTTAGCCGAACAAACGGACAAGTTCACAATCGAGCCATCTACAAACTCCTCGTGAAGGTACCGAATCCCTTCACCGATCTGTAGAGCAATACCCCACCGAGCATCCCACGAAAGGTTTGCTGCTGAATTATCACCTATAAAATTTACCGTCGTAGATCAGTAATGGACCCACAATCACATTTTCCTTCTCCTCATGCAAAGACGCACCAATCAGGGTTGTTTAGGAGAATAACCCTCTGACAGATTTTTTTTAACAGATTTAAGAATGTCTCTACCAGACAGAAGAATGCCTCAAAATAAGCGGGGACTTACACAGCAAACACAATTCAAGTGACGCTTTGGGACAATCACAGAGCAAAAAGATCGAATCGCCAATGCAACAATAACCAACCAAATTCAAGATGTTTCTGTGGCGAACCCGAGACACGATTTTGAGTAAAGAAACCGCTTGATCATCGGCAGGGAAACGCATGACGACAACAGGAAATTCTTCGAAAACACCTTTGTACATTATCTTATGTTGATCCTTAAGAGCAATATCTTTAAATCCATTTGTCATTTCTTCAATTTCGGCCAAAGAGAAGGCTCTTGGGAAACCTGTTCTCCATGACAACGGGTATGAACACGGAATTGGTGGAGTTTGTTTTGGTGAATGTGGTTCTTTCACAGTGTCTTCGGCAATGAAAGCTTGATCATCGATTTTTCTACACACGGTTTGCCATTCTTTGCACTCAGGACCTGTGATCTTTGACGGGATTAAGGTTGCTACGCCCTTCGCCTTCAACAAAGCCAGGTGACAGTCTACGTTCCTGTGTATATATTCTTTATCTTTCTTCAAGTATCTGAAATTTAAAACCGATTTCATCAAGACGAAATCTTGAAAATTTGTCGAAATCAAAAAACTTTTTAAGTATGAAGTACTCGTCTAACACGATCCATCGAGGATCCAGCTTTTGTGCTTCTTCGACGGCTATCTTCTTGGATTCATACCCTGCAGCTAGTCTTATATCTAAGGTCACCTGCAGGAAGGAAGATTCAGATTTCATAAATGTGAGGATATATGGAAGCTCTTTCAATATATATAGGGCCAGGTTCAGATGAAAACCACAACAAAATGAAAAACTGAGAAACACCTTGGTAACCGTTCATCTGGACGGTATGCACATATGCATACAAGTAATTTGTAAGGAATTTGACCTGTATGTACATGCACACGTGCATAGAAACCAAGAAACACCTTCAGTTACTTGTATACACATGTGCATATCATACATATGAACAGTTATCAGAGTGTTCCTAAGTTTTTTATTTTTTGAGGGTTCCTGTTAGGATCCAAGCACTTACAACTACGCCAAAAGCAATTGCTGGTGGAGAAGGTGCAACTTATTTCCTTATAGCATAGCAGTCAGCGCCATGTTTCAATTTAGGATGATGCTGGTCAATGACCCAACAATCCCCCCCAACATCTGCTAGCACTAACAAGATATTCGCTAGAAGACAATGGCTGCACAACATGCCTTTGGCATAATTATGCACCTCATGGGATTCGAACCGAAGGGACCTGCTCTGATACCACATGTTAGGATCCAAGCGCTTACCACTACGCCAAAAGCAATTGCTGGTGGAGAAGGTGCAACTTATTTCCTTATAACATAGCAGTCAGTGCCACACTTCGATTTAGGATGATGCTGGTCAATAACCCAACATTTCCCTTGCACCTCCCCTCTCTCTCTCTCTCTCTCTCTCTCTCTCTATATATATATATATATATATATATGATTCTCATTTGAACCAAACTCTCACTATATATGTAAGTAATGTACACATATGTGTGTGTATATATATACACATATATGTACACGGATTTGCTGGTCCGTTTTCAGCCGATGTGGACTCCAACAATTTGAATATCTCGAAGCTAGTAAATATATAAAAACTTAGAAAGCAAAGAACACACAAACCTCTCTCTTCTTACAATTGTGGTAGTAGGGCTGAAGAAATTTTTGGTATTCTCTTTTCTTTCTCCCAATCTCTTCTTGGAGTTCCGACGGTGTCATTTCGCCCGGTCCTGAGGTTGAGAACTCGAGTTTCATCCCTGATTTACCGTTCATGGATTGTTAGTACATTCTCGACAAGTTATGGAAAACGTTGCCAATTTTCCTTCTCCAATAAAGTTAACAGTCCTTTAAAAGACTGCATACAAAGGTCTATCTTCGGCAACCATATTTTTTGAGCTTATTGAAAAGACCTCGTTTCGTTAGCTATAAACTAGCTTCTTGAAAGAACTACTTCAAGTAGCATTTCAATAAGTTTCAAGGGGTTTCTTCCAATTATGCCCCTTATATTTTTCCATTTAATTTTTCGTCATAAGTCATTTTACATCGCCATCTAACTTATAAACTAGTTTTGACCAAAAAATGACTAGTTTATCGGCTAGCTTATTAGCTCATAGGTAACTTATTAGCTAACAAAACTATAGTGGTGTTTGAGATTGCTTATAAAAACAACTTATTGACTTATGTCAGTGTGACACTGGCAATAAACACTTTTGAGTGTTTGCTTGTATCGGTGCCAAACCGGTAATAAGGTGTTTTTTTTATGACTTATAATAAGTTGACAAATACTTTTGTTGTCCGATACACAAGCATAGCCGAAAACTTCCCTTCCCAACGCTTTTAAACCATAGCCGAATGCCCATGTGAAAAAGGTAAACAAGTATACAAAAGAAAAAAGGAACATACAGATGCCGGAGGTGCCAATGCCGACGTTAAAGGGTAAACAAGAAGGGGCAGCTTTCTTGCCGATCTCCGGTAAGACTCCGAGAACGACGACGGTGTCATTTGGGCCAACGATATACTTAATAGCCCATTCTAAAGCATCTAGACTTGCTTTTCCCCTGTTTCTATCCATCACCACCATCACGCTCTCACCGATTGATGATGAATCCATTGATGATTTTCCAATTGACAGGTGAAACTATCAAGTAATAGGGTTTGACATTAATAGACGATATCAATGAATCCGGTGGCTGGGAGAAGGGGTTATTATTCTGGGTACTACTACTAGTTGGCTTAGGGAGAACCGCCATGAACGACGGTAGCAAGGTTTTTCTTGTTGATTTGCAAATAGGAGTTTACAAAAAATAGGAGCATCGGTTGCAATTTTGTAATTTTGTACCAAATCTTAACAACTTTACCAATTAAATTTGTATTATCTATGGCTATATTATAAAGCATTTGATAAAAAAAACTCTTAAAAATCATTTTTTATACATCAAATATTATTATTAATACAGATTACTTAAAATTTAAGATTACAAGTAAATTATCCGTAAATACAACTTATTAAAATTTAATTTTAAATTCATGTAAGAAACTACAGATAAACATAATTAAATACATGATAAAAATTTAATTAAATATAAAAAATCTAAAATATAATTAAGATAATAATTGAGTTATAACACAACACTTAATTATTATCTTTATAAAAAATGATACTATTGAACCGAAAATAAATTACTTTGTCATTAAATATAAATTAAATCATAATAAAAAATTAAATTAAAGAAATTACATAAAAACATTAACTTTAAATAGTTAATTTAATAATAATATCGATATATTTTTTCAGATTTTTATAAGATATTCAAATTTATATTTATTCAAACATAAAAACATTAACGCTTTATCAAAACCACATAAATCGTGTTATAATATTAACAAAGACAAAAAATTAAAACGAAACACTAAAATCAAGATATATCACTGTGCATTACGCAAGTACCCTTCTAATGTATCATAGTGTTAACTTCTTTAATTTTTTTTATTTTTATATTTTGTATGTATTAAATATCAAATATTGTTAACTTTAGTTATTTTATTTGAAAATTTAGATGTTTATAAGTTTTATTCCTTGTAATCTAAAAATATTCAAAAATTATATATGTTACCTCGAAACTCAAATTTGAACAAAATGATAAGTTTTCATCTATATATCTATATTATAGTATAAAATATTTGCCAAAAACTCTTAAAAAAATTTTGTATGCATGAAGTACTGTTTATTGATACATATTACTTAAAATTCAATATTACAAGTACAATGTGCGTAAATACAACTTATTAAAGTTTCATGTTTGAATTGTGTAACTAATTGTGGATAAACATAATAAAATAGAGGATGTTTATATAATTATGATAATCATTAACTTCTAACAAAATACTTAATTATTATCAATATAAAAAATATATTATCAAACAAAAAATAAAAACAATTAATTAAAGAAATACATAAAAAAAACAAGAAATTTTAAATAGTTAGTTTGGTACTAATATCAATATTTTTTCAGTTTTTTATGATATATTTATATTTTATTTATAAAAAACATAATCTTCTTTCTCAAAACCACATAAAACCGTATTATAACAACGACTGAGACAAAGAAAAATAAAACGAAACATTAAAATATAGATGTATCTCGTTGCATTGTGCAAGTATCCTTCTAGTAACTTGAAATTGGTACAAAACTGGTAATATACACTAACCGGAAAAAATTAATAGCAAATACAGTTGATTGATACATAATATAACATTTTATGTATGAACTATATTTTGGATGATATATGGTATTGGAGAAAAAAAATTGCATCATACTAAAGTGCACCTAAACATTGGACTTTTCGGTTAACAATGTCATTTTACACCCCACAATTATCTGTAATGTTGAAAATAATAACTAAGCTTTTGTTTGGTAAACTAGCAGATAAGATAGATGTTGGCTGATAAACTAATCATGTTAGGCAAAATCTAGCTGATAAGATAATTGAAAAAAGCAAAATGACCAAAAGAGTAGGGATGGGAATGGACCCCGACCCGTCGGGTAACCCGGTCCACCCGCCCCGGTCGGGGACGGGGATTCCCCGAAAAATCGGGTCTCGGGGACGGGGACGGGGATCCCCGCTTGGCGCAAGCCGGGGACGGGGACGGGTATAGCACTCCCCGCCCCGCCCCGTACCCGTTTTTTATATATATATTTTTTATGAATTTGGGCTTTGGGCTTTGGGTTGTGAAATAAAAAAAGTAAATGCATATTCTCCTTCCTCCAGTCCAGTCCATGAGTACGAATTCACAATTTCAATTTCCTAATCCTATTTCTTCCCGGTTCCCGCATCCTTCCTCCTCATTAATCATCTATCATTTTATACTACCACTTTGATAATGATTGTTATATATGTTCCTTGATTTGTGAACTAATGTTTACCTAAACTAAAGTTTTACCACTTTGGTAGTAGGTTTCCATTAATCATCTACCATTTTATACTACCACGTTAATTGTTATATATGTTCCTTGATTTGGATCCAAATTAATACATTATTGTGGCTGGKCTGYTTTCTTTTWCAAATTAGGTTTTTATACAAATTAGGTTCTTGTTGACACTTGATATCATGTGCCTACAGCAGCAACAGCCCTTCAAATTGCAATCACAATTTGGTCTTGTTTAAGBCTTATATTACTCKATGTAATTTTAGTACGTTTGACGTTAACTTTGATAATATTAGTTTAAACTTTTTG